CAGATATAACAGAAAATTTTAACTGCTGATTCTCACACCTCAACTCAGACTATGAAAACTAGAGAAAATGTTTACCTCTCTCTCATATTTTGTGTATAGCTTTTCAAACTCCTCGCCCCAGTAATCAGCCAATCCCGAAGATTCATTAGGGCAAAATAGTGAGTATTGCCCATAATTTTGGACCCTCTCCATGAAAAGATCAGGTATCCAAAGGGCATAAAAGAGATCATGAGCTCTGTTTTCTTCCTATAAGATGGTACCGGAGTTACCTCTATTGCAATAATAGAGCCAATAGACATTCGAGATGGAACATTTTATGAAAGCATTCTACGACTAGGATTAACAGTGCAATAAATTTAACACAATAGTAACATAAAATTCATAGGCTAAGTTGTAAGATCTCCTTTTCTCATATGTACCCCCTCTTAACCTTATCTTAACTCCTTTCCTCATAACCTCACAGAAATATCGTCAAAAATTTAGATTTGTAACCTAAGAGAAATATTTTTAAGGAAGAAGAATCATAAATAAAACTTACACAAACATCTTTGGTATCTGTAACCTAAGAGAAATATTTTTAAGGAAGAAGAATCATAAATAAAACTTACACAAACATCTTTGGTATCCTCATGTGGATAATCTCCAAGACCCAATCTTTCTTTTATGGAACTTAACAAATACATCAAACTCGTCATAATTTTTAGGATCCAACTCTGCCAAGTGAAAAAAGAAATAAGATAATTTATCACTTTTTCCAACTAAAAAATATAAAGATAAGCAAAAGTACGAAGAGATTTTTTAAGTCAAGAAAATAGATCCCTTTTTCTCATATGCGAGAGAAAAATAACCTAGTAACAAATTTAATTCTCAAATCTTAAAGAATAAGAAGAAAATAGTAAGATATTATGTATCATGAATCAATCATCTCAAAAGCACAGGAAAAATATCAAACTGGCAAGACAGCATCGAGTTGATCCAATTCCCCTAAATGTCCACACAAATTACATGCGAACGACAACGATATTCACAGGATAAATAGAAAAATTACCAAAGGAATTCAATTGTTCAACATGCAATAAACAATAACCCTAAAATTAACAAAAACATCCAATTTCGAAAATATAAAATAAACTACATTAAATTAAAATACCTTGAGAAAGCCATTGCTCCCTCATCGCATCAAGCTTACACTGCTTCAATTCCGCCGACCTATTCGCCTACAAACACCCAAACAAACAATAAATCCTCAAAAAATCCAAAAAATGCCCAAAAATTCAATTTTGGAATTTGAACCAAGAGATTAACCTCTTCTTCTTCCCGGTTTCCCTAGCATCCGCGGGAACCACTGGAGTATCGTTGGCCATGGCGTCGAATCCCATCTCCATAGAAAACCCTAACCCTCAAAAAACCCTACAGAGAAGAACCCTAATCGGGACCAAAGACCAGAGCATTTCGACGTTGACGGCGGGGTAGTAGAATTTGTTGCATAGCCTGTGGAAGTAGCACATGCCGACCTTGCCGAAGTAGCCGAGGTGGTACTTGTCGAAGAGGATCTGGTGGTGGTGCATCCCTCCGGCGTTACCGTGGCCGTCGAGGTGCTTGTAGTGCTTGCCGATGTGGCCGTGGCCGGCGCTGACGTGGACGCGCTTCTTGCGGTTCTTCTTGAAGCGGGTGGTCATGGCAGCGGCGGCAGGAGGGCTAGGGTTAGAGCTTTGAGGGGACGGAATCAGAAGCGAATGAAACTTTCTATATGAAAGGGGTCGTTTTACTTTTTTTTTCTCCAATTTTAGGCGCTCTAGAATTCCCTCTAACTTTCCCCTAATTTTTTTCCGCCCCTAATCCTTCCCTCTCTTTTTTTCCGCAAGCGAAAATCATCCGCACAATTTACTTCCCTTTTCTCCAATTTTTTACCATTGCAAAATCTTCTTTAGTTTCTGTTTGAATCCACATTGGATTTTTAAGATTTTACATAGTTTATTTATAACAATTTTTTAAAGAGATTTAATTCTTATTAATTAGAGAACCGTTTCTAATAAAAACAAACCACAATAACCGTTGCTAGTATGTTCTAATAGCAACAGTTAAATAAGATACCGTTGCTAATAGGAGCATTTGTAGTAGTGACGTCTCACCATGTCTTAACTTTTTGAGGCCCCAAATCTCACATTTGTTACCCAGTACGATGTCCTATTCTTGTGGCCTGCATAAGGCCCATAGGATAGTAAATATGAATTTGATATTTCATTAAGATCCGCTTATTCGATCTGTATGTGACTCTCTTCTATGTGTGACAGATATCTAAGGTGTCTAAAAAGCCCGCGGTCCGGGCCCGGGCCCGGGGTCGGCCAGGAAACCCGGGCCAGACCCGGGTCCGGCGCCCGAGGGCGGGCGTAAACTCGCCTGGTCGGATACCGGGCCGGCCCGGAACAGTACCGGGCTCCCGTTCGGGTCGGGCCGGCGAGGCTCGGCTAGGACGCAAAACAATGGTCTCTTCTGGGCTGCCGTTGTCGAAAAACCGGGTTCGAGCGGCGATCAGGCTGTAAACTAGCCCCGGTTCTGGGATCCGCCCGGCCGGTTAGCAGTACCAACTCCTATCCGGCATCGGGGCCGGGCGGCTCCTGCCAGCCCGCCCGGGGCACAACGGTCACCCCTCGGCCGGGCCCGGCCCGGCAACAACGATCACCTGGCGGTGACCGTTGTCGAGAAAAAATCGGGTCCGAGCCGGGCAGCAGGCAAACTCGCCTTAAAGCTTGTTTTCTGTGATCCGGGCCTGACCGGAATCAAGTACCGGCTTCCGGATCCGCGGCCCGGCCTGGGGGGCAACAACGTCACCCTGGTGACCGTGGTTCAAAAACCGGCGGTTCGAGCCGCCTGGGTCCGCGGCCCGGCCCGACGCCAACGGTCACAATTTGTGACCGTTGACGGAATTTGGTTGGGTCGGGCCGGGCCGGGCCGCAATTTGGTCGGGCCGAACCGGGCTGCTAGCCCGGCCAAAACAGTCAAAAAACTAACCATTTTGGCCGCAATCGGTCATATTTGGCCATTTGACCGATTTGCCCCTTAAAACAGGCAAAAAACGGCTAGAATATGAGGGTTTTTTGGTCATTTGCCTAGGGGGCTGCCTCTATAAATAGAGGGGGGTTTCACTTTATTTTCTCACAATAAAACTCATCTACTTCTCTCTAATACTCTCTTATATGATCTTATACTCTCTTATACTATTTTATAATCTCTTATATTTTCTAATACTTCCATCAAATTGCTTCTGGATCTGATTATAAAGAGCGAGACCTATCACCTACCGATCTAGAGATGAGTCCTCCTACAATAACTCCTCCTCCTACCAGTGTTAATCCTAAATCTGGTGGCATTGAATCTACTGCACCAAGGATGAACACGGTAGGATTATCTCCCCAGAAGGCAAAATGTGCGTTGTGCGGGCAGGTTTTCCAAGCTCATCATAAGAGCGGCACCAACCATCTCAAACGCCATATAGAAAAGCACAACAAAGGCCAGAATCTTCAAGGTGATATCCGACAGTCTATGATTTCCCAATCCTTCCCTTATGGTATCCTCGGTAGTTAGAATTATGATACTGCCCGAGCTAGGAAATGCTTAATCAGGTTTATTGTTCTTAAAAACCTGCCTCTTAAATTAGTAGAAGATGATGAATTTGAAGATTTGTTTAGAGATGATTTTTATCCCGTATTTACAAAATTTTCTCGTCAAACCTGTTAACATGATATTTTAAAATATTATTAGGAGGAACAAGGAAAAATAATTTCTTAGTTTAAAAATTCAAACTGTAAATTTTCTTTAACTTCTGATATTTGGACATTTAGAGTACAAACTGGTTATTTATGTATCATAGCACATTGGATTGATAAAAATTAGCAAATGTTTAAAAGAGTTATTTCTTTTATTACAATTGAAGAGTCACACACTGATATTAATATTGTTTGGGTGGAAAATTAATTTCATTGATGAGTCCATTACAGCTTCAAACACTTACAATAAACTCAAACAAACAAATAGCCTTTTTTATAAGACTTTAAATCAAAAGTTACAATTTTCTCTCAAACTACACACAATAGAAGTTTATCGCCTATTGCTTGTACGGGATCGTTGCCGGTGCCGGGGTTTATCCGTGGACCACCTACGGATCAGATCCTGTGAGCAGAAGTTTGGATAATCAGTGCTTTCGCTTCACGAAGGAAGTGATTACAGTAGCGGAGATTTTGACTAAGCAAAATCACGGCTCTTCTTGGGATTTAAGACTAAGCTTAAATCCGGAGGAGGGTGGAATGAGTCTCGGATCTCTCGAACTCTTGCTTTGTTGAAGAACTCCGCCAAGATCTGCTAACTCTCTGAAATTCGTGCTCTAATCTCCAATTTGACAGCACTTCGTCCTCTTGATTTCCAGATCCTTAAAAAATGAACACCCGAGCCCTTATTTATAGGCTTGGTTGGTGGTTTTCTTGGATCAAAACAAGGGATTCCCTCTATCTTCAGTTAGCAACTGTCTAACAATAATATCAGAGCAGTTGGAACCCAAAATCCTGAAAGAATCCATGAAAGAACCGAAAAACCCGATTCTGGCCGATCCACCGAAGTGGCTCGACCTTGGCCGAGCCACCAAATGGTGGTTCGTCCATGGCCGAGCCACTGGTCTGACCGGATCATTTTGATGCGTCCCGATCGCCAGAAGCTTTCGTGGTTTTCTAGAGTTTGGTTCGTTCCGTTGTTTGCATGTATTTCATGGTATTATTGACTTGTACGCCAATTTGGTGGCTGGTGAGTGTACGGGCTACTTGGTGGTGACCGGTGAGACTTGGTTTGCTGGTGAGTGTGCGGGCCACTTGGTGGTGGCCGGTGAGCACGCTGGCCACTTGGTTTGCTGGTGAGTGTGCGGGCCACTTGGTGGTGGCCGGTGAGCACGCTGGCCACTTGGTTTACTGATTTGGTGGCTGGTGAGTGTGCGGACCACTTAGTGAATCTTATCGATTTGAATGATGACGTTTATCGTCTCCTCTTCGTCTCGAGCCGCATACGGGAACTTATAGGCATTTTTAGACGTCTACAAATATTGCAAATTTAATAATTGAAGAACTTATGAAACTAGAAATTGATCAAAGAATATTTTCTCTTTCACTAGATAATGCAAGTAATAATAATGTAGCAGTTGATTTTATTAAAACAACTTTGTCATTGCCATGTCCTGGTGACCTTTTTCATATTAGATGTATCTGCCATATTTTAAATTTAATTATTCAAAGTGTATTTTCTAAAATTAAACCCATGATAGAAAAGGTTAGAACAATTGCTAATATGCATAATGCTTCTGAAATACGAATTAAAAGATGGAAACAATGTTTTAAAAGAAAAAATTATAAGTCTAGACTAATTTTAAAAGATGTTGACCATAAGTGGAATTCCACATATGCAATATTAAGTGTAGCAATAGAATATAAAAAAATTATAAACGATTTTATAAATTTTTATGTTTCTAGTTCTAGCTCTGGTAGCACTTATAGAATAAGTGAAGATGAATGGACAATTATATGTAAATTAAATGAGATGTTACAAGTTTTTTATGATGCTACTATGTTATTATCTGGTTGTTATTATCCAACTATTACTTTAGTTGCTTTACAAATTTTAAATATTCATAAAAATTTTGTCAAATATCGTATGGATGATATTTTTGGAAATATAATTTTTTAAATGAAGAGCAAATTTAATAAGTATTTTAGGCTTATTCCTCATATTTTTTATTTGGGGGTTCTTATTGATTCATGTTTGAAGGATATTGGTCTTCAGAATTTGTTACAGTCATTGTATGGTGGACAAATTATAGACTTAGATGATGGTTCCACCCTTACTGTTACTTCTCATCATTTATCTATTAGAAATTATTTTCAAACATTATATGATAAGTATGCAGCTAGACATGGTGTAGCTGCACAACAGTCTACAGCTTCAGCGCCTTCGGCTTCGAGCACAGGTCAAGGTAAAAGTATAAGTTTTGATAGGTATGTAATGGTAGCTGAACTAACTGGTGGATCTGGAATTGGTTCAGGATTAGAGGTTTCTGAATTAGATGAATATTTTTCTGCTTTCTTAGTTAAATATCAAGGAAATACTTTAGATATTTTGCAATGGTGGAGAGTATATGGATCAGTTTCATATCCTATACTTTCCACCATGGTTCGTGACTTACTATCAGTGCAGGTTTCACGGTAGCTTCGGAATCCGCCTTCAGCACAGTAGGACGTTTGATCGACGACCACAGGATATGCTTAGATCCGTATACTGTATAAGCGGTGATGTGCTTACAAGATTGGTGGAGGTACGAGAAGAGAACATAAGGTATCAATATGATTGCTATAATTGAAGATAAATTTGAAGAGTTGGGACTAGCAGAAAGATATAAAGATTAGGTAATATTCATCAAATTATAATTTTTATTTCTTAGCTTTAAATTTGTAATGAATTATTTCAAAAAAGTTACAAATGATAGTGATATGGGTGAGTAGGTGCCAACATAGTTGGGATTTACTCATCTATTGTGATGCGACGAATTTCGAAATAAATTTATACTTGTAAAGGATTTACTGATTATTAATAAAGAAATTATTTTTATCATCTTTTATTTTTATAATTTTTTGTACTTGTAATTTATATCATTTCAAGTTATTAAAAAAATTTATGTCATTTTCTATAATTTTTATGTATATTTTATGATTTATTGTTTTTTAAATTTAAAAAAAAATAAAAAATAAAAAAAAGGGCCGGCCCGGAGCCTGACCCGCTCAGGCCCGAGCCCGGGCCCAGACCCAGCCCGGGTCACCCAGGCCCAGGTCCGGGCTTTGGATTTGC